AGGTTAGAACGCCTGTATGTTAAATCTTTGTCTGCATTTGTTTCCCCACTTTGATAGCCGTCCCTGAACCCACGTAGTAGTAAAACACACATCGTAGGCAATCTTACTGACGTTTTCGGAAATAATGAGACGATGGCACGGTAAGTGCCGCGTTTCATGCGCAAATTTGCCCATTGTTTACTGTTAATAAAATCAGTAAATATTGGCACTTATTTGGAAGGTAGGATGAGTGAATCTCAGGCTCGTCGTAAATAGAACAGAGCTCGATAAAAATCCCCAGCTATTCTAAGGTTTTCAGGTTAGCATGAACGTGAACTGATTATAATGTATAAAAATACTTGCTTGCCCTGAGTATTCATTTTAAACTTGATAGAAACTCGCTTTTATGTGTAACTTATTTAACCCCAAGCATCCTGCATAGTTTCTCGTATCCACGACCTTTGTGCAAATATCTCATTCACATTTGACAGAGACTTCTATGATCTACAAACTTTTTATAATATATTTAAACACATGTATTCTGCATAATTTCGCGCCAATGAACAATTGTATGTTGAACTACTCTCCATATTAAAATAAGGAGAGTGGTTCAAGAGATTGTGCAGTGTAAATAAAATTAATAACAATAAATTAATATTAAATAATTTTGCGTGTCAGTATGTGTATTCCAATCAGATAAAATCCTATTCCGTTGATCAAAATCCTATAATTATAGTCAAATTTATTAAATTATATCCTTCGTAGCTATCTACAAATATGTGCATCATATCAAGATGCTTCATAAAAAACATTGCTACCAAGCAATGCTTAACTCTTAAATCTCCTGTACATAAATATTTTAGTATTAAATAAAGCAACAATTGTTCTTATTAGTGATTTTTAACACAGCCCAGTTTACATTTTCGTAGGTCTGCAGCCATCAGAAGAAACGCAAAAAAATGGGTTTGCTCTTTCATATTCGGGCTTTCTTCAGTTCCAATGGAAACTCCGCTTTATTGCAAAAGGAGAGAGCAATGTATCAGGGCAATCATAACTGACAAGGCGACTCTCCTGCTCGCCGCCAGAGGAACAAAAACAGCCCTTGTGCTGCCGCCGCCTTCACCCACGCCGCTGTGACCCAGTGGCCACGCACCAGCGCCGCGCACGCAGTAATCTAATTTGATAAATGGAGCAACTGCTGATTTACTGCCCGTGTAGTTTACAACTGCTATTTTTAGCATTCGATTTTGACTTCGTGATCAAGACAGATTTTATCCTCAGTTGAGGCTCACGTTGCATCTAAATTAAGTAATATCAGTTGCTTAAAATAGTATACCACTTCAGGATAACGCGTTTTAGTTCAATAATAAAGGTTTAGGCATCTTATAATTTAATAATAGTGATTTCGAATTTGTCTCGAATATCAGAATCTATTTATCAGTAAAAACACTTTGCATGTTCAAATCCAAGTAAACAATGAATAATGAGAAATGGTAAGTTCTACATTAAGAACATGTACCAGAGAAAGGTCTATTTCTTAGACAAAAATGTATTATTCGGATGCTGCAACACTAAAGAAACCACAAATGGGTATAACTTCTGAAGCCAACGTGTATTTTAATTTCATAAAGGCAGAGTCACAAAGATAACCTTTGTACATTTCTCTCTGTGTGCGTTGCCATAACTGTGCTCAATTGAAATTTCGTGGATATTAAGTATGATAGGCAATAAACATTAAGTACACTTCAAACATTTCTTTTTAACGAATGTATGTCTAAAACCTCAGAAGAAAGAAGTAGAACGAAAGTTAGACAACATACCCATTTTTAGACGTTATTTTTGCAACTCGTACAGTAAATCAGGCAAATGCTTATACAAGTTTAACATGTCTATCGACAATCGTTATGTATCTATTGCAGCAGTATCAGGAGTAAATCACACGTAAACGAAGTAAAGAGAAATAATAAAACACTGTTTATCAACTACAATTCTTGTATAATTCGCAGTACTGAGTATCAGGAAATAATTAAATTTTTGCTATCGAATACATAATTTACTTCATCAACACAGAAGAAGTATTGGAAATTATTATCTAGTGGAAAAAGCAAATCGAATGGCTCAGGTGTATTGTTACAAGGCAATCGGCCGTTCCATGAAAATGGACAACCCGAAAAAATTGCGCAGAGAATTAATTTTAAAACTTATATTTTTAAATAGAAAATACAAAAACCATACATACGTGTTTTCAAAAATATATGTTTATGAAACACGATATTTGAACCGCCTTAATAAATAAGCAAGCATATAAAATTACAATTCATGCATAAAATATTGTATAAATAAAAACTGACCTTTAATTGGTTTCGAGAGAGATTCATATTAGAAAACATGAATGTCTTCTTTGGCATCGCAGTTTAGGTAGATCATTCTCTTAAGAAAAAAGTATCGTTTATCAAAGAACCGTTTTATGCATGTTTATCTTCAAAGAGAAACGTGCATAAACGATTTATTTCAGAGAAAAATAAGAGCTTTCAAAGATCGTATGGTTATGCCACTTATTAGACTATCCTGAGATTCTAAAGAGCGTAATATTCACATGACCATGATCCAGACGATAATTACTTCTGATACAGAATTGAGGCTGGATAATCCTCAACCCTCGGCAATTCCAGCTTAGAGGTGGCTTAGTGCCACCATGCGATGTGGCAAAACCACCATTGTCGGGACTCGAATCTAGGACCTTCCGAACCATGAATATTCTTTTGCAGTCTTACAAGAACATACGTTATTACAACCAATTCATAAGATATCAATCTTTTGAAACGTATGGATGCAATAATTGGACTAGAGTAAAATCTACAGCGTACTGTAGAACACTCTCTCAAAGAGCAAATACTCAGTAAAATGTAGAAACTATGCCAAATAGTTTCAATATACATTTATAATCGTTAATAACTCAAGGTGCGACTGTCTATATGCAAAGACCAGTAGCAATTTAGTTTTAATAAAATTAATAATGCGTTAAGTACGGGTAGAAAAATAAGAAGAAAAAAGATTCACAAGAACAGTGAGAAAATAAGTTAATTAAATATTATATAACGTGATTAAAGGACAAGATCCAAAAATAATAAGACGTTCCACTTCCGCGACAAGTGAAATAACAGAGGTGCTACGAATGAAAAGGTCACTCCAGAGGTCCAGCCTCGAGCGGACTCGCGGGCAGAGAGAGAGGACAGAAGCGCATTCGGAGGTAGGGGAAGGAGAAGAGAACTGAAGTCGCCGAAACAGTCGTCGCGGTTTGAACCCGGCGCTTCCGGTGGGCGGGATTGGGAGGGCGTCGGCGGGGAGCGGGGGCCCGGAGCCGGGGGGGGGGGATTCCACCGTTGTTAGCGCGCGGAGGCGGAGCGGGGCGGAGCGGGCGGGGCGGGGCGGCAGTGGCGATGTTACTGCTGCATACGGGCATCGCCGCAACAATCTGCGCGGCCGCCGCGCCAGCGCGCATGCGCCGCCAGCCCATCAAAGCAGGCGCCGCGGCCGCCAGCCGACTAGTGCGCCGTCGCCCGCCGCCGCAGACACCGCGCGCCGCGAGTGCTCCAGCCGTCCCAGCGCCCCGCCCCGCAGCATTCGGATACGCCCCCGCCCTCGTCGCCCCAGCGCCCCGCACGGACCGTCTGCCCGGTGAGTTCGCCGCGCTCCTCCGGCAGCGTTGCTACATTGCTCTCCAAGTGCTCAATTGGTTATCACTTACAGCAGATTTGTGCGCGGTTTGCATCAGTCGTAGCTTTTATTTTACACGGTTCATGAAACTTCTGTGAAGTTAAGATAGGTAAAAGCTTGAAAAGTGTGAAGGAAGCAGTTTGCTTCAATTTCAATATAGCCTGCAGTCTCCTATTGAGCCCAAGAAATCGTTTTTATATATTAAAACTAGCATTGTACTGTTTAGAATATTTACGATTTGACAGAATACCTAACATCGCAAAGAAATATTTCCTGAGAAAAAGAATTGTGGGTATTGGATAAAAAGGACCCGCCAACCAATGATTATAAATTATAAGCGCCCAAGTATGGAGAGTTATCATAGTATTTCAGATGGTATCCGAGTAATTGTTAAATGCAAATTAATTTTATAATAATAATAATAATAATAATAATAATAATAATTATAATTATAATAATAATTTTTAAATATGACGAGCATTAAGCATACGATAATCATCTTATGTATATTATGAAAGACGAAAGAGAGAATGCGATGGGGTAAAAAACGTTAACAGTATCATTAGATTCACGAAATAAGTCAAATCATCTTAATTCAAAGTTTTATTGAGAGATCCTTCATTTCTTGGCATTTCGAGATACCCATTCTAGCACCTGATGTTGAGAGATATGTTTGATATTCACATCCCGACCTTTCAAACGTCACATTTCGTGAGAACATTTTTTTCTCAATTTGCCGTCCAAAGTGATTTAGGCTACTCGACTTCTCGTCTCATAGTCACGATCTCCAGCACGCAATTGTACAAGGTCTCAAACGTTATTTGAGGAATACGCCTATCCTCTCACTGAGACGTAGTTAATTATACTTCAATTAGTCAACCAATTAATACACCTACATTAATTTTCCTGCATTACTCTTGGAATGATGAACAAAATTCATGTTTGGCTCTCTTCGGAGATGATGGTCAATGAAAAATGGTTTTCCGGGAGATTAATAACGATAGAAAATATTTAGTTATTAAAACAACAATTTGTCTCAAAACAAATTAGTACTAAATGAACTTAAACATTAGAAACAATACATTTCTTATTTTGCCTGCATTATTGAGTCACAATATACCTAACTACCATAATTAAGCTTTGTAATATTTATGCTAATGAACTTATGTACTCCACTTGGTATATATTTGAACATCGTGCAACAGAAAATTGAATATAATGTGTGGTACAAACACAGACAATATTAATAGAGTGACTAGCGTGTGGGTTTTATAAATATGCTTTATTGTTCTTTCACCCACACGACAGTATGATTCAAAGATTTCACCCATACGACAGACTGATTCAAAGTTAAGATTTTTTAAATGTTTTTTCAATAAATGTGTCCATTGACACGCTAGACAGAAATTATGGCCCCACGTACTCTCCAGAAACCTACCTCGTTCTCATATATTGTATTTGATAATAATACTGTACATTATTTGTAGTGTAAAAATTCTGTCAATTTCAATTTGACAACAATAAACACAATTGCAATGAGGTATCATCTGACGAGTTTTATGTGATGTTTGCACAATATTCATCCACGTGTAACTCGCGGACTCTTCTCGGAGTGTATTTAAGTTATTATCATGCCTGCAACATTGCAGTATTTTTTCATAAAACATTTTGTCAAAACTTTATTATTTCCAATAATACTTTTTATTCTCGTCAGTGGCATCCGGATACATTGCCATCCAAGAAACTTCCCAGCAGTCATCTAGGGAATTAAAACTCTAAAGCACTTGATGGTATTTCTTCTCTTTTTGACTATTAATAACTTCGTTGAAATATTATATCCAACTACAGTGCGTCAAAAGTATGCGTGTGGAAAATGACCAATGTATGTTGTTATTTTTCAAGACAATCATTAAATGTTGGACTATTTAGGGGCAAAGGAATTAATCGTTCAATTCCATCAACATCACTCATGTTTTTATGAAAACATTTTGAGAGAAATGGTGCCATGCCATGCTTAATTGATTCAAAGAACACACCGAGACCCCTAGACTCAAAAACACTGGCAACGAAATTGTCGGTCTTGCTCACTGATAAATCCTTCGCGATGTGCTCAGCCTGGGGTGACGTCGCTGCGTCTCCTCAGCCACGAGCGGGCGAGGTACGAGTAGTGAGGTCGAGGCGGCCTTTGCAGCACCGCAGGTGAAAGGAAGGTCCCGCGCTCGAAGCCCGGCGCCTTCGAAGACGAAGCACGCAAACAACTACAGTAACCGCCCCTCACTACATAAGCCACAAACGCCTTCACAAAGACTTAGCACATACATTACGAAAATATACCACATTCTTCCAAAACATGTCCAGTTTCCGAAGCATCCCATTTCAATCTAGGTAATGAGCATCCCGTAGAACCACGTTTACGCAATCGACTCCGCTTTCACGTCTTCATCCGTAATGTGACTGATAACAGATTATGAAATAAACACTCCTCCCATCAACAATAGAAGTCAGACACTCTTCCATCTTTAAAATCCGGATTACCTAATTTTCTTTAATGGAGGTTGCCATAACCACCAACTTCGCATCATATTCATTTGAAAACGCTCGCTCCTAACAACAGAAATGCCATATGACTGAGTGTTTACTATCACTACGTTTTGTAATGAATATTTTTTTTAAAAACACGCAAGCAAGAACTCTCGGTGCGTGCTGCTCTCCGCCCCGCCCCGCCACGCACGCCCCGCCCCGCGCCGCCGCGGCGCCCGCCACGACGCCCTCCCCGCGACGCGCTGCCTGGAAGTCCCCGAGGACGCGAGGAATAATTACAGAATTCGTCACGCACTCGTGCGACAGAATACGAAGAAATGTCTTCGGGGCTCGCAGGTTGGCGAGGACGAAGGAGGAAAAACGTGGTGGTCGCGCGCCTACAGTGAAAACGAATTCGTTAGATGGTCGGTGTGAAAATCGGAAGGCTATGGATGTAATTCTCTGCTTTTAATTGAGCTTACATCAAGAATATGCAACACTTAAATAGCATGCATTTCGTGAGACGAAAAGCATTTAAAATATTAATAACTTTTACAGATAATTTTGAGCACTTATGGAGTTTGACATTCTCACGAATAAAAAAATATTACAGTAGATTAGCGAGTATGACGTGACATAGAAATAGTACATAATCGTGTTAGTTTCTTAATGTGTAGTAAATAAATTTCATAAGAACAAGTTTTCAATCCTTTGAAACGAACGTGGTAAGATCCAGAACGTCTAGGGAACGTCTGGGTTCGCTTCTCAGGCGCTGGGGTCTGCAGTGTGATTGCTCCTTGACAGAACTAGATCTTCCACTTTTTGCCTGGCCGTATACGAGCGGTAGCAAATACAGCGTGGTTTAACGTGAGAAAATTGCCTCATAAATATAGGCCGTCGAACCAACTAGGTAGTGAAAGCGAAACGCAAAAACGTGAAGAAAACGAAAAGTTGTTTTGCTCGAGGAATATTAGCTTCAGCAAACGTTTTTCAGATATTACTTTCGCATTATCAGAAGTAATATCTATAAATAATTACGCATTCATCTTAGTTCATGACAAAATGTGCTTGCAATTTATTTAATTAATTTCACAGGAGAAATATTTTCCTTAGTATTTAACCCATCGTATTGTATTAAACGATAATTTATAACAGGCAACGTAGGATCATATTCAGCTCTAATTTTATTACTTTCAATTAATATTATAATATTCCATTATATAAACTTGTTCATCCCGAATTTAGTGTATATATTTCGCGATAGAATGTTTAGAAAGTAGTTTTTAGAACCTCTAACTGGGGAAAATGCACCGAAAAATGTAATGAAAATGCTTGACGCCTTTTAAGTTTTATAAAAATGCATAATTTAAATAATGTATTTAATGCTACTCGTGCTGATGTGACAACTCTTCAGTGTACCCGAATAGTAACTGAAAAAATTGCCTTACTGCCTTCTCATGCATGTAGAGATAGATACGCCACCACACTAATATGATTGTCTACATACTTTTGGAACAATGTTACTATTTCTATATTTTTTCATATTTTTAAATTGTACATGACATCATTCAAATATCTAACAATTGATGGTTAAATTGCATTGACTAGTACAGCCAAATAAAGAACATTAAAATAAATTATGTAAATTGCATCGTTTTTTACAGAAGAGGACATGTTACATTATCATGATTAACGGCCCTCGTTTAAAATATAATTTTCTGCATATGCAACTGCAGGAGATATAAAATGCTATCAAATTTTTACCATTAAATAATTTTTAAAAAACTAACAGAGATTTTATAAGACACAAAGACATCTTATTAAGATTTTAATTTACAGCTGAGAATTTTCTTCCCCAGAAATTAATTCCGGACCTCGCGATAACATGAACAATAACGCATATAAACCACATTGTACAAAAAAAAGTAAACTGTACGCAAGAAAATGATTCAAATATGTAATTTCTGAGAGAAGGTTAATATCTGAGTTTTACAGTAATCGTTGGTTACTGTGATAAACTTTCAATTGAAGATAGTTTCTTTTAGAAGTCATTACTGTCTAAAATTATTTAGAGAAGTTATACGTATGAGGGGTTTAACAGTGCCTGAGTAGTTTCCTGCGGATGCGTATTGTATTTGTAATTGGAAGTGGAGGGCTTGAAGGAATTTTGTGCTAAAACATAAGGGAGGATTGATTGATTTGAGCAGTAATGTAGAGTACGCCGAGTTCGTATGAAGAATCATTGGGTTATGGACCCAGGGTGCCTTCTGGTCTATGGTCCTCGGAAAACCAATTTTGGAAGACTGCTGAGCCCACCCAATGATGACGTTGGCGTCCAGTTTCTTGGGCACGTTGGAGGTGTCTGGTGCCGTTGCGGGTAGCGCGGAGCGGGGGGGCGAGGACGGTGGCATTGTGACGGGGGCGGGGCGTGGCGGACGCGG